GAGGCTAGACAAACAGAGCCTATAAATCATCTAAATAGCTTTGGATAATGGGCAGTATAGAAATGAAGCTAATTAATTAATTAACAGAATCCCAGCAAGATTAGAATAGACTGAATCTTAGCAGGTGAGGAGGGTCAGGTCTTGAAAATTTAGAAGAAAATGTGTGCAGGCCCAAATGTTGATGAAACAAATGTACCCCCAACCCCAAAAAAGACTTGTTCTGTGGACTAGAAAAGGTAGCCTATTCTTGGAAAAAGGAAACCTTCATACAAACATTGTGGTAGGATTCATTGTTTGAAATCAAAAATAAACTAAAACATAATAGGCTTTTCACCCCACTTTCCTGCTGTCATTCTGGAGGTGAGGTGAAGTGCTGGTGTTTGGGTGTTTAAAAAGAGATGACTGCATTATTACATTGGATTTTTGAGAAACTTTTGCGGTTCCTGAATGTCATTCCATGGCAAACTCCAGGAAGAGTATTTGATCTCCTTTTGAGCTAAGCAAAAATGCAGAAGTAGATCAGAAGAGGGGAGAGGCACATATACTGAGAGACAAACTAGCTGAATAATGCCTTTAAAATATTGGTAACATAATTGTAACAATGTCTGTTGGTTATAATAAATAAAGTTAGTTCATGTCTTGCAGCTCTCAAACATCTGACATTTACCATATGTGTCTTGTCTGTTAAGCAAGTCTGGCTACCCATGATATAAAGAAGAGGCTCGGATGGGAAGAAACTGAATTCTTCCTCTCTCTAGCCTTATTGTCACTTGCTCCATTGGTACCGGCCAGCTAGAAATAAAGTAAGCTGGGGAGTAAAATGAATGAAGGTAGGCAATAATTTCACTTTGGTCATACACATACACCTTTTTCATGAAAATTAGGCCCTCCCACTGTGCATTGTGTTAGTTTATGCAGGCATGTTAAGAAACAACTTCCCCCAATGTCTTTCTTATCAAATTTGGCATTAAAGTAGCACCATTTTGTGTGGCAAAGTGGCAGCTCCTCAATTGCTTAATTCAGGAATGGTGAAGATGATAGTAGCATGCAAGTCATGTTTGAACTACTTCTATATTTTATTAACTACTCAAGTACTTTGCAGTTGTTTCATGATTTGCTATTCTGGACACTGTGTTATTTATGGGTCAAACAATCTGAAGTTAATCCATAGCTTGTCATTGGCTTGTGCATGACTCATACAGTGCACTAATTCCCTACAATTCCTATGTTGAATAACCTGTGATATGTGAAGCTGGTCTTAATTAATGGTTTCCCAATGAAAACTGATACTGTGCTTCACTTTGATTGGAGTGTGAGGCATACAGAAGTCTTTGGCTGTAGACCTGCATAGTGTTTGACACTAGTGTTCAGGTCTTCCATTGTTCTTTTCAGTGGAAGTACACTGTGAACACCTTATATCAGGATTCATCCTTCTAAAGCTGGTAGATTTATATAGCTGCATGGCACTACGAAGCAGTGAGCTGCAGTGTTTTTGTTAATGGTTGCTACTTACCTGGTTAACAGTGACTTTGTTTAGTTTAGTTTATGAAAGCATTAGTCTATTTCATATATCAACTGATTAAGAAGAGTGCAATCTTTGCCCATTTCAGAGTTTAATCGGTATGTTTGATGTACTTTAATGCCTAGTGAGTAAAAGTGCTCTATAAATGCTAGTGGCTTGCTGCTTCTTACATTAGCACAAGAAGATGTAAATGAAATTGGTCATTTTCTTTAAAACGAATGCTTGTAACTTTTTAAAAATCAACTTGAGGGCTGTTCTGTTTTTCTCACTGTTTCAGACCATTTATTCAGGCTAGCCAAGGGGTTTTGACTGGGTGGGTCAAGATAGTAGCACATGCATCATTTTGTGAGGATGCCTCTACTGCCTTTAAAAAGGCAATGGTTCATCTACTCCTGAAAACCCCTCAAAGGCTTATAATAACTACTGCCTGATGGAGAACGATCTCTTTGGGGCACAGTGATGAGTGGGTGGTGGTGACTCAGCTTCAAATGTTTTTGAAATTTACAGCATCTCATTCCAGTCTACATATGGGACAGAATCAGCTTGCTCATCCTCAGGATGATCGTTACTAGAAGAGGGAGTGCAACTCCATTACTGTTTCTTCATCCCTGAGTGCTTTGATACCTTTGATCATGGTATCCTCCTGGAATGACTCTGAATTGTTCTTCTATCTGTAGGGATGGTTCAAGAAAATAGTATTGGGAGACTAATATCAGCTACCTAGCAGGCTTGTTGTAGGGTCTCATAAAGAACCATTTTGTCTTTATTCAATATCTATGCAAATGACGTCATAAGATTTGGGGCCAGGTGCCATCGGGGCCCATTCAGAAGCTGCTGCTTATGCAGAATGTGGTAGCTAGTTTACTGAATGGGGTACTGTCCTGCACTCATAGGGGTGCCTTCTGACACACATACTAAAGGATCTACACTGACTTCCAGGCTGCTACCAAGTTACTTTTAAGGTATTGGTATTGACATACAGAGTCCTGTACAACTCAGGAACAGTTCATCTCAAGGAAGGTACCCCCCTATTGCCAGACTGCCAAGCTTACCTGTTGCTTGTGCTGTGACTTAGGGTTTCTGTACAGCGACAACACAGAAATGGGATTTCTTGTGGTCTCACCTGCCTGTTACAATGATCTCCTCTCTAGTAATTTTGGGCTTCAGTGCAGGTGCATTTCACTGGAAAACTTTTTTATGTTGACCCTCATTTAGCTGTTACTTTGACCCTCATTGAGGAACCATCATCTAATATTGTATTCTTGCATGTATTATATTATTTCTACTGCTACTGCTACTATTAATACTACATTGCATTTATATCTCACCTTTTTTCCTCTTTCAAGGTACCCAAGCCAGCTTACATAGTTCTCCACTTTACTTATATCCTTTGAACAACAGTCCTCTGAGGTTAGGTTGAGAGTCTGTGACTGCCCAAAGTCACCAATAAGCATAATGCCTGAGTGGGGACTAAAATCGATCTCTCAGGTCCCTAGTCCAACACTCTATGGAATTTATGCAAATGAGAAGCATTATATAAACAGTGTGAATAAATGAGTAGAACAGACAAAACAGTTAACATGAGTCACTTTACCACTCCAGGTTTCTGTCCCTGCCTCCTCAATGACACCTGTCCATTTTGGGGGATTCAGCAGCAGTGATAGGCCTTGCCAGGGCATGAAGCCGCCTCTTCAGGCAAGGTTAGCTCATATTCCTCACCCCAAGATTCAGGTATACCAGAAGATGTCCTTTTGGCATGTTCACTTGAACATGTGTTGTTTATCTCCCCAACAGTATGGGCATTTTAGCAGATAATGTTCAATCTACGAGTATTTTAAAAAACCTTCACTGGCCGCTATTTGATCATATGTTTGGAAGTCTATTTGGAGGTCATCTGGTCACATAATTTTATTATAAATAAAGAAAGATAACCAGCCTGGATTTGTGGACTCAGCTTGCTACATAGTTGCACATTGAAGAAAGGAGAATTATGGTCCTCCCTCCATCCCTCTCTTAGCATTTAACTTGCAAGTGTTAAGTATCAAAATACAAAAATGTTGCTGCTAACATATCAGAATTTGTTGGCAAGGAGCACGGGTGAAATTATTGGTTGGTTGGCTGGTTTGTTTGTTTGTTCATGACAAGAAAAGTTAGGATTCCTTAGCTAGCGTTGAATGCATCATCACTGTGGAATTCTGTTCGAAAGGGTTTGGCTTGTTTAAAGGATTCCTGAGGGCAACCCTACAGAACACATTTTGTAAAGATTTTCCTGCAAAAAGAGGAAAGTGAAAGGGCATTAATTCAGTGGTAGCTCATATGTTTTCCATGAAGAAAAACCCAGGTTCAGTCCCCTGCATCTTCACATATTGCTGCAATAATTCCTTCCTGAACCTCTGGAGAGTCACTTCCAATCAGTGTTTATAATACTGATCTAATGAACCAGTGGCCTTGCTCAGTGTAAGGCTGCCTGCTGTATTCCTCCCTAAAGGTTCTTGGTTGAAAGTTTCTATTAAATCTGGCTCCTGCTGAAGTTGAGTGTGCAGGTTGTCTATAAAAGGTTAGCCATTTCCCTGAGCCAGGGTTGTTGGAGGTGGTTGTTCAGACACCAAACACTATCCAGGGGCTTTGCTTACTGTCCATTCCAGTTGATTGGTGCCTCTTAGCCAGTAAGGTTACTACTGGCAATGGAAAGTGACTGCCTTGCTTGCTAAACCCATTGATTAGCTAGCTTTTTGGAGTGATTTGCTTGCCTTTTCAGAAAAGACTTATAAATAAATCTGAACCAACTTTAAAAACAAAATCAAAATTTTTCATGCGTTTACAAATAGTTGTAATGAAGAAACTAGAAACTTTAGCTGGGAGAAGATTTTTAACAATCCAAGTTTAGTGAACTTGGGTGTCCACTGACCTCTAATAGTAGCAGTACTAAGAAAATTGAGTCTATTTGTCTATTATGAAAACACACAAAATACTGTTTTTTCACCATCTGTACTTGTTTCTCACAAGAAATGGAAAGAACAAGTTCTTGGCTATGCACTGTACAAATGAAGAGTAATTATTTCTTTGACACCCTACCTCCAGTACTTTATTTCCTTTTATGTTGTTTTTTTCCTTTTCCTTAGTCATTCTAATGCAGGTAGAATTGACCTTCCCAAAGCCATAAGAATGAAAACATTTTTTCTTACTAGATTTGGAGTGTCAGGGGTGAGGGTTGTCCTGCAACACCACATCCCATCATGGGTGAAAGATACTGAAGCATGAATAGGTAGAAGAATAACAAAATTATCACACACCCAAAGAGCTATTGTGGTACATTTGACCTTACTTGTTGATGGTAGGTAAAAATAATGGTATATCTACAGCAAAATGATATTTTGCTTTTGAATGAAATTTTCCTCTGGAAAAATGAAAATAACAAGTTAGAATGTATATAATGTATTCAGTGGTGAACTGTTGTGGAATCTTTTCTGTTTTACAGACAGTTGAAGAGATTGAAGGTGTGCTAGGACGGGACTTGTATCCAAATCTGGCTGAAGAGAGATCGCGATGGGAGAAGGAACTGGCAGGTTTGAGGGAAGAGAATGAGAGCCTCACAGCAATGCTATGCAACAAGGAGGAAGAGCTAAATAGAACCAAGGCTACCATGAATGCCATCCGAGAAGAACGAGACAGATTACGCAGAAGGGTAGGCTACAGACCACTTAAGTGACTCAGTATTAAAGAGCTACAAGTGGGCAGGTTCTCCACTCCTAGGCTCTAGTTCCCATCCATACCTTACTCCTGCTTTATTCACTGTTTTCCATCCCTTTTACCTAGTAGAGTATTCTGATGGCTTCTTTTTCAAATTCCTTTATCCCTCAGTTAAGGGGTGTGCCGAGAGTTTTCCTGAGTTGCCTGGACCCATATCACATTCTCATATAAAGAACATTTGAACTAGGAAGATGAGATTCTTGGCATGTATTTTCTTGTATATCTGAGATACTGTACAGTTACCTATACCAAGAACTTAATTGGAGCATGCAAGATAAAACAGATAATAAGGGAGCTCTAAGCTCATGCATAAATATCTCAGTAGATAAAGCAGATATTTCTCTAGAGGATATTATAGAGCAGCAGCACCCATTGAGGGTTTTGTTTGTAGATGGTTTTTTATGTATATATGTGGCTTTGTATATATTTCCACTTGTCCTTCAAAAAATAATTTCTCAGTGTATGTATTGTGCTTTTCTTTGTGGGATTAGACTTTCTTGTTTGCTATTTTGATGTTCTATTCAGCTACACAAACTGTCTCAGCAAAGTTTTTATCAGCCCACTCTTAATGTGAGTGTTCAACTAATGAAACAGTTTGTATATGTATGTAGAAGTCCCACTTCACCAGAAAAAAATGCAGAAGCTTAGAGCTTGTTACTGCATCCTTTTTTATCTTTACCAGACGTGAGCAAAACTTTAGCTGCTACATTGGACCTTCATGACTCTCATTTTGCAGGAGGGCGACATGCTCCCTATAGTTTCTCCTTCCATGTTTCCCATGGATGACCTGCATCTAGGCTATGGAGGAAATAATGACTTCCTTCTAGGTACTGGGCTCTTTTAGTCAGTAGAGTTATTCCTATCTTATCTACAGTGGAATTTCCATTTGGCCTCCTTTAGTCCAGACCCTTTAAAATACCACATAATGTGCCCTTCTTCAGTGAATCTGTTTCAGCTTCCAGTTGTTGCTTATCTGTTAGTTCAATACCTTGCTACCAAAATGGACTGAGTCACCTAGTCTTTGTTTCTTGGACTTAATCCTGAGGCAAGGCCAGATGCTGATGATTCCAGAGACTCTAACTCATTTATATTTAAGGACTTTCTTTTAGCTCCAGCCATATTATTGTACTGAAAAATTCTTATACTTGCTTATTTATTTTCTATTTTAAAGTATGTTGTAATTTGCCTTGTGAGTATATGCACCGTAATATATAAATCTATTAAGCAAATATTTTTCTGTTTGTTTTAGAAGGTGAAGACCTAGTAGTTGGAATAAATTTATCACGAGCTTTTATGAGGTTTAATTCAGATCTGTGTCTTTAAGTTTTTTAAGAGTCTTTGGATTCTACTTGGGATTTGATCTATTCCTGAAAGGGACTGCTCTGTTTTCATCTAAGTTTATAGCTCTTTAATGGCCCTGTGTGTCAGCTGTTGGTACATTACTTAGGCTGAAGAATGTACATGTGGAGGGTTTTCTGGGGTTCTTACATTTTGTTCCTCTGCCATTTACTGCCCCACGTAGTTCCTTTCTCAGTTGCTTATCAGAGCGTCTTTCTTCTGTTGTGATATTGAACAGCTATTCTTAATAAGAATGGATAAATTAGCCCTCTTATGTAGGCCTGTCTTCTCACTGCCTATGAATGACATCTGCTAGGTGCCCTGTTGAGACTTAATCACTAAACAATGATTATGAAAAAACAGTGGGTGCAGCAGATAAAGAAGCTGAATGAAATTATTTAGAGCTAAAAATGTGGCATGGAAATAAACTAGATATGTTTTATTTACTACAATATGCTTGTACCACAGGAGTCAGGTAGAAGGGGAGCTTTGTAATTAAGTCTTTAATGCTGTTGTCTTCCAAATATCCATATATGTTTGCATACCAAAATCATGTTGCAAAAATCACAGCAGGCCTAATCAGGAGGGGTGCTGATGCTGAAAAGCCTCTATTAGAATTCACAGTTCCACAAATACCACTGCAGAAGTGTAATAATAGCTGAAGTGTTGACCATTAAGATTTGGAATATAACACAGCATATGAAGGGTGAGTCTCCAGATCATTAAACAGAGAACGGAACATTATTTTCTGCCTTTTTCTTTCAGTTTTATTATAAAAAAGCCAAGTCTTGTGCTCTAAACCATATGCTAATTTGGTAAATAGTGAGTTTATTTCCCCCTGGAGGAGTCTGTTTATTACAGATGTCCATGTCAGCCACACTGTAATGGTGAGCACTAGGGAGCTTATTTGCATTTGTAATACTGTCAATAACTGCCATATAAATAAATGTTTTCCTTGACCTACTAAATATTTTATATATGCAACCCTGAACCAAAAGTCACTTCATATTATTTCCCTAGAGAGTGAGGAAGGAGCCCTTGCTAAAACTCAGTTTTTGTTCTACACACATTAAATTGGGTAGAGAAAAGAAGTTGAAGCTGAGCAGATCAATAGGGTTGTTACTTCAGCCCAATGTCTGTAATCAAACAAAGTGCTCTCAGTAGGGTTTCAGAGGCTTGTTAGAGGTTTAATTAAATTAGATATTTAATGCATTCAGTTAACAGATTGTGCTGCTTTGCAGTGCAATAACTAAGAAATGACATGTGTATGGATTTTTATCTCTCACAGGTCATTAGTAAATGAGGTAATTACTTATTTCTGTAGGGTGCTCATAATATAGTTTTACCGCTGTCCAAAGTAGCCATATGAAAAGAAAGCAATCTCCTTATTGGAGTTATTTGCTACAGATAGAAAATGGTTTTGTTTTCTTTGGGTAAATACAAGAACTGATCACTGCTTGGTAAATGATTGCATGGTGTGTTTGTTTGTAAAATCTCTGTAGCATATGCTAATCAAAACTATTAGGAAGGTTCACTGTAAAAATTGAAACCATTAAAATGTTATGTATGAATGCAGGAATAATTAGTCCAAGAAGCAGAAGTATGATGTTAAATCCCATGGTCAAAGTCTCAATTTGTTCTGTTCTCCCTTTACTTTGTTCTACTGTGTAGGATGTGTGTTGCATTATGAGATTAGCTTGGATAAAAAGTCATCCTATAGTTATCATATAAGCCAAAGAAGAATTAGGCCGAAAGCATACAGTGTGGTATAGGTGCTAACTCAGTGGTTTAAGTTAAAAACCAGTAGAAGGCAAAGTTGTTTTAAATCAAAGAAATTAAAAACCCTTTATTTTTCCTGAAGAATCCAAAAAGGATTTAAACAGAGTTGAGTAAGTAAAACTAAGAAGTCATCTCTTTTTTTTTTTTTCCAGCCTCAGCTGGTAATAAGAAAGAACATCCACTAGTTGAACTGTCTACCTTGAGTTTTTGTTGGTTATAGGTTAGAAGACTCACAGATTCTCCATACCATGGGTCACTTCGGCATGTCAAGACATATATTACATGGATTATATGTCTTCATGCTAGTTGACTTTGCCAATACAGATATTATGTAAGGTTTGAGTCCACAACTAAAAAACATAGACCAACTTTATTTATTTATCGATTTATATCCTGCCTTTTTCCTACAAAGGGCTCAAGGCAGCTTCCATGTCCTCCTCCATCTTATCTCCACAACAACAACCCTGTGAGGTAGGTTGGGCTGAGAGTCTGTGACTGGCCCAAAGTCACCCAGTTGGCTCCATGGCTGAGCGGGGACTAGAACCCAGATCATCTGAGTTCCAGTCCCATGCTCTTTACCACTACAACACTGGCTCTCTAGTCAAACATATCAAATTAATGATCCTAGTCACTTGAGAAGTATTGTCATGACCAACTGGTATCCCTTTGTGTTATGTCACAAAACTTACTGCCATTTGTCTTCTCTTGTACCAACGCTATATAGGTGTTTATGCAGCAATGGTATCAGATGAATACTGCTGGATATTCTGTAACTTCTATACTGAAATATTACATGTGGAATGTCTAACATTTTATAATGTTTAACCTTTGAAAGTATCACATTACTTGATGGGTAATTACTTTAAGGAGCAGAGCCACAAGATAAATAAGAAATAGCTAAGCTATCCCACTTACAAAAGGTTTTTAAATGTTTTCTTAAAAGCAGTTTTTGCTGTTTCCTAAAGGTAAAGTCAAGCAAGCCTCCCTAGGAAGCCCTGATTCTATGGGTCTGTGCTACAATCATTCGTATAACACAGATGCCTCTCTTACCAAACCTAAGTGGTGGTGTGTTCATATGGAGATGTGCCTTAATGAAATCCGTTTAATATTTGTTCCATTATCAAGTTACCTGAAATATATTTGGATTTGTAAAATCATTAAAAAAAACTATTTTGATCCATATATTGAATCTCATGAGCTTCAGCACATTGAAGAAGAATGCTCAGCAGTTTTATACTGTGTTATACAAAACTGCTTCGACCTACCTTACCTTGAGTTTCTCTTCCATTATGTCCTACTGTGATTTCTAAGATTCACCAGAAGAGATCTCTTTTTAAGTGTTTTCTGCCCATCCGAATCAGATCCCAAGGGCATAAAAAGAGGCATTATCAGTGCCTTCCCTGTCTGGCTTGTCAGAGTTTAAGACAGAGATATTTTGGATGAGTTATCAGACTTATATAGTTGAGTTGCACTTGGGAGAAGGGGTACTTAGTGAATTTTAATGTATTGCAGGAAAGGTTTCTTTGTTACCTATATGAACTTATATAAGTTAATAGCAAGGGGATTTTGGCATTCTGATTGTGTTGATTCAGCCTATGGGTGGGAGATTACTGGAGCATGCATTTTTAAATCAGATGCATAACATATGATGTGTCTGAACACTCTGCTTAAGCCTATCCTCTTTAGGTTAGTGTTATACTATATTGGTGGGTATGTGATTTGGTTTCGGAACTGTGAAGACTGCAAAGAATGATACTCAAAAGCCACTTCATAAGACCAATACAGTGAAAGTCTGTGTCAATATATCGTCTCTCTGAT